CCTGCTGTGGAAGTCGATTTGGAAGGCCAAAGTGCCACCTAAAGTTAAAATTTTCACGTGGAAGACTAGTCATGGTATACTCCTGACAAAAAACAACCTAGTAAAGAAAGAGGTAGTTATGGAGTTGGCATGTATATCGTGCAGTGAAGGGCTTGAGACCGATGAGCATATGTTTTGGGAATGTAGCTTTGTAAGGGCCTTATGGTTTGTGTCTCCATTTGGGGTCAGGTTTGGTACTAGGGGCCGACCTGTCTATGTGGGAGTGGATGATGTCATTAGTGGAGCAGCGTATCAAGGATTTTGAGGTCTTTTGTATGCTGATGTGGGCATTATAGCAGAAGAGAAACTCACTAGTTGGGGAAGGAAAAAATGGGTAGCCTGTGGAGGTGGTCCAAAGGGTAATGAGTTGGTATAATTCTTTTCGGTTAGTGTTTGAGCAACCAAGGTTGTCTAAACAAACTACCTAACAAAAATGGATAGTGCTTGCGAAAGGGGTGGGTAAATGTGAATGTGGATGGGGCTACGTGGCTGGAAAGGAAGGTAGGTAGGGTTGGGGCTATAATTCGAGATTGGAAAGGTAATTTTATTACTGCTGGTGTGTGGAAGATGGAGGGGATTGGGACTGCAATTATAGTGGAGCTCCTGCCAGTGTTGAAGGGGTTGCAGCTGGTGGGTAGCTTGGGGCTAACAAAGGTGGTGGTGGAGAGTGATTCTTCACTCGTCATTGTTGCCATTAAGGAGCCTAGAAAGGACCTATTAAAGTACGGGTTCATGGCGGAGGATGAGCTGCATGTAGCAGCTTTTATTGGACACATTAAGTTTGTGTATGCTTCAAGAACTTGTAATGGCGTTGCCTATTGAATTGCTCAGTTGACCACTGCTATTGGCAATAAACTAGTTTGGTTTGAGGAGCCTCCTAACTTTATTCAGGACCTTCTTGTTCAAGACATGATGTATTATGTACTATTTCAATAAAATATAGATGTTCCATTAAAAAAACTAAAGCTTAATTAATGAGTTTATTTTATCGTTAAGAGCAATTTCGTCATTCTAATTATAAAATCCACTTGGTACACGTTGATTGATTATGATCATTTATGGTTGTGAAATCCTGTCCCTGGATTTCACTATTTTCATTTTATTAATTTCAACGTGTTTATATTCGAGGAGCATAATGTTTTTAGTAAAAGGACGAAAACGCCTTTAATCACCTGAACATAATTTTTGAGGACATATTTGATGCATATGTATTTTTCCATTTTTCTTTATGTGTTCGGATAATACTTATCGATATGAGCGCGTGAGCATAAACGGAACGTAATTTGGAGCTATAACGAATGAGTTTTTAACGTTTAAAGTCGGGGGCATTTTAGTAGATTTAACCTTCATATTTAGAAGGCTCCAGAAAAATTTGGAGCAGTGAGGAAGTGACACGTGGACGGCTGATATGAAAAGAAAAGAAGAGTAAGGAGAAAGGGAAGGGAGGAATCATAAGGGAGAAAAGGGGGCGGGGGGAATGAGAGAAAGGATGGGAACTCGGCTGGATCCTCTTTGACTCGGTTTCTTGATCCGGTTGTATCTCTTCCGTCCGACGTCCAATTGAGGTGATTTTGGTGTCAATGGAAATCTCTCGGCGAGCCCAACATCTCGATGGTAATATATTTCTCAATTTCTAACCCAATTTTACAAACTGAAGCCACAAAGTCCATGATTTTCCGACTGTTTTCTCATTTTTTCGATGATTTTGACAACGATTACCATCAATCGCCACCACCAATAGACTCCCCTAAACCCCATGAATAAAGCCCAAGTAGTGGTGGAGGCGTCGGAGCTCGTATGGAAGCCGAATCGAAGCACACCATTTTCTAGGGTTTTCGACGGTCCAAGGCTGATTTCAGGCGTTTCCTGGCCGAATTGGACTTCAGCCCAAGTATGAAAATTTCTCCCTTCATTGAGATATACAAATCTCTAAATTTTGGTAATTTTTTGAAACAGTTGAATTTTCAGGCGAGTCGGGGCGGCTGGCCGCCATGTGGCGGTAGTGCATGGGTTCAAACCCCACCTGACCTTTCTAGGCTAAATTTGATGCTCCGATTCCATATTTACATCCGTGTAGTGAAATTCTGATGTTTTAACATAGTTTCGTAGTTGACCGCCTAGTTGGCCACCATGGGGTCATTATATCAATTGACAATCCGACCGTTGGATCGGCACCAAACTTAAATAGGTAATAGTACATAATATTTAAGTACATTAGGAACTTACAGATCGGGAATCCGACTACGGATATTCCCGAATTAGATTTCTAAGTTGTAAAATCAAACGTTGACCACCGCTTGAATTTGCGATTGGCGGAAATCCAATTGTTTGATTGTAATGAAATTTTAGTATGTTGTTCTAGAAGCATAAGGAGACTCTTGGGAAGTTACAGATCAAAAATCTAATAGGCAGATCATTCAGATTAGGTTATTAGGGATATGGACCCTACTTTCGATCTTGATCGACGGTTGACTTTTTGGTCAATTAGCCCAAGTTCTTCTAGCATGCCGCTAATCTTAGAGTGTTGCTGAGATTCCATGGAGCTTATTAGGCTTATCATGATGATGTGTCTTCCTCGATTGACGTGCACCTCGATTTACGTACTGATGGCATCACATTGTGTTTTGCTTGTTGATTTTATATGCTTTGACTTGTGTATTGAACTTGTTGTGGAGTGTGGTTGATTTATATGTTTGGCCTAATGTGATGACATGTGAGGGCTAGAAGTGGACCATGAACCCATTGTCATGAAGTTTGTTGCTTCGAGACTTGTTTCACATATCGTATCATTATTTCATTTCTCGTTTTGTTGAGCCGTTCTAATTGTGTACCTTGTGCTTTGTTCCATTTATTGTTTTGTTGAGTTTTTGTATTTTGAGTATTTGTTTCATGTATTGTTCTTCGAGTGTTGCTATATTTCTTGGACTTCTGCTCGCTTCCGTTGAGTGATCCGGAACTAGGTTTCTGTTAGGGTTCCATTGAGTGGTCCAGTTCCCTGCTTCGTTTGGATTCTGTTGAGTGGTTTAGAATCCCTCGTGATTCGCGATTTCATTAAGTGGTCCGAAATCGTATCCAGCTTGGATTTCTTTGAGTGGTTCAATAAGCATTGTACTCTACGATTCCGTTAAGTGGTTCAAAATCGTATTCACTCGGATTTCGTTAAGAGGTCCAGAATTCCTTTTACTCCGCGATTTCGTTGAGTGATCTGGAATCGTATCCTGGTTTGGATTCCGTTGAGTAGTCTGGAATCCCACTTGGTGTTTTGGTTTTGTTGAGTGGTCCAGAACCCGATGTTGATGGATTTCGTGGAGTGGTTCGAAATTGCATCATTTGACCTGTTGGTTCCTTGGATTTGATTTTAGCTTCATAGACGTAAGCTTTGGGTGAACTGTGTTGCTCTAGCCCTACATTTCGATGTATTGTATGTGTTATTGATTGGTGTTGGAAAACATATGTATGTGTGAATGGCAAGATGACTAGAGAATATTATTGTGCTTCGTCGAATGTTCCTTGAGATGTTGCATGCCTGAATCGTGGTATTATGTTGGGACATAGTGGTTTATGTGATGAATGTTTGAGTGTAGTGAATGACGAACTACGAATAGATTGATTCCTGTTTAGGGTACGTAGGCAGTCTAACGAGGAGGTTAGATGCAACCATAAAGCATACGAAAAATTACTATGCGGTTTGATTCTTGAGTTGTGTTTTGCCCATATCCAGGAAGCGGGGTATGATAGATACGAATTTTTTGTGACATCATGTGTCAATCCTGGATGTATGTCGGGATCGGAGCGTGACAATGGTTCCACATGTTCAATCTAGACACTCGAAATACAGAAGGGTGGGGCCAAATTAAAATGTGAAGAGTTGTTTTGCATGTTTGGTCAAAACTTCACGTGGTCAGGTGCTCTACACCTGAGAGGTTCTTCTAATCCTGACATGCCAATCGGTGTTATTTTGGTTATAAAAATAATTTCACAAAAAAAAAATCCGGACCATAAACAGAGAATCGTATATCAAATATTGTACCAGGCGTTTCTAATTTGACAAGAAACGAATATCAAGTTGAAAAAATGTACAAGATACCTAATATTACCATACTAAAAAAAGTTTGAAAAAGACCAACAAAAATGAAGTAAATTAGCACCACTTGGTACCCCTTTGTATTCTTTATCTCAAAAGCTAAAAAGCCAATGAATCTAGTAAATTTATTTGTGCTAAAAAAAATGCTAAAAATGCTAAATTTCAAATTCCATTTTAGAGCAAGTTTAAGCAAAGAATTTCCAATCAATGACAACCGCTTAAGGGCTGGTTTGGTATTGCTGTGCTTTGAAAAAAAAACTGCTTCTGCTGTGCTGTGAGAATAAGCGGCTGTGAAATAAAGCTGTAGAGTGTTTGATAATTTTTTTTGTAAAAAATGCTTTTGAAAAAAAAAAGTAGTATTATAGTGTTTGGTAAACTGTTATGTAAAATAGATGTGAAAAAAAGCTGGTTTTTTAAAGCTGGATTTTGCAGCTTCTTGTTTTTGGCTTGTTTTCACCCAAAACTGTGAAAAAAAGCTGAACCTGAATGTTTACCAAACACAAAAAAACTCGTAATTTCCCCCAAAACACAAAAAGAGCAGCAGGTCAATTGTCAAAGCGTCCCCTCTCCCAAAATCCTTTGCCCAAACTAATATTCCTTTCCCACGCCCAATCATATTCCTTTCACACCCCTGCGGTTTGCCCAAACTAATATTCCTTTCCCACGCCCAATCATATTCCTTTCACACCCCTGCGGTTGTTTTATCAAAGCCCACTTAACCGCATAATCCAAATCCCCACAACCGTCTCCGAGCGTAATCCAAATCAATTCCCCAATTTCACGGCGGTCTGGAAAACAACGGAAGGGCAAAAGAGTCATTTCACGAGACACTCTTTCCTTCGCTCTTCCTTCTGCTATTTGAACCCCACCCCCTCCCCCGAAGTCTCTTCCTCAGCACGTATTAATTTAAATTTCTTTTGATATAAATATCATGCAAGCCCCACTCTCTGCTCTCCTCACACGCTAAAAGCTTACTCCTCCTCCTCCTCCTCTCTCTCTCTCTCTCTCTCTCTCTCTCTCTCTCTCTCTCTCTCTCAAAACTCAGACCGATCACAGACGCGATGTCTCAACGCGGCCGCGGCCGAGGCCGCCATTCCGATCCCTCGTACGGCTCCGACGCCCCGCCGTTTAATCGCGGTGGTAGAGGCGGAGGCCGTGGTCGGGGACGACAGTCCGGCGCTCCACCGTCGTTTCAGTCCGAATCGGGCCCTAGCCGTGGTGGTCCTGGAGTTGTCGCCGCTCCGACGGTGACTCAAGCTCCCTCGCCGGCGCCGATGGCTCAAACACCGGCTCCTCGTGGGCCGGCGCCGGCTCAGGCTTCCTCCAGCTCGGCGCCTCCGCCCGCTGAGGCTCTTCTCATCTCTGAGATGGAGCAGAAACTGACGATGACCGCTCCGCCGCCGTCTTCTTCCAAGGCCATCCGGCATCCGCCGAGGCCGGGCTACGGGAAGGTCGGCGAGAAGGTCCAAGTCAGGGCCAACCATTTCTTAGTGGAGGTTGCGGATAGAGATCTCCATCATTACGATGTAAGCGTCCTTCTTCCTTTGTTCTTTTTGCAGTTTTCACTTTTTCGTTTTTATTTTTCTGTGTTTATCTGTCCATCTGCATTTTACAGTTAATTTTGATTTTTTTTTTTGACGTTTTCCTTTTATTTTGTTTTTAAAAACTTGACTAGGAATGTCGTTTTTGGACCCGAAAATGATGATCTGTTGCCCTCAAAACATCTCTGTGACTCCAAAATTTCTTTGACATTTTACTTTTTACAATTTTTAAAAGTATTTCTGGGTTGTTCTGCTCAGTTGCTTCCGACTTTCGAGCGTCGTCATTATGTTTTCAATTTTTGGCAACCATTTTGTTTTTGTTTTTAATTTTTTGAAATTTTCTTTTGGATTTCGTTTTGGCGTTCTTTTACTGCTGTAAATCTGACTTAGAAACGAGATTTGACGTTCCGAAAAAGATTTTCTGAGTCGAAGGCGAGTCATATGCTTTTGTACAATTTATTCTCTATTTGCTTTACTTTTCGCTGTTGCCCAACTATTTAAAATTGACCTAAATTTGTTCTAGTCAAAATGCTGAATTGCAAAATCCCAGTTTCATTTGTTTTTCAAAAATGGTTTTGTAAATTTGATCCAGGGAGGTGTTTTGGGAAAACTCGTGATGGTTTTGAAAACACGTTGCTGATTCAAAATACCGAGTGCCAAACAGCATCTATTGATGAAAGTTTGGGTGAAATAGGGTTGGTTTTCATTTGGTATTCTGTATTTTTGACTCAGAAGTGTGTTTTTGGAATGTAATTCTTTGGGTACTTTCTGAGCTTAGTAAACAGTGATTTTCTTGGTAAACCGTTCGTATTCTCGCTTAATTGGACAGTTGATTATTGTTGTTTTGGTTATGTGGTTGTGGGGTGTCTTAAGATTTCATTTGGTTGCCGTTGCTGTAGGTGTCGATTACCCCTGAAGTTGCATCGAAAAAGATCAACAGGGATGTAATTAAGCAGCTCGTAAAACTTTACAAGGAATCCCACCTGGGCAAGAGAACCCCAGCTTATGATGGGATGAAAAGTATCTATACAGCAGGCCCCTTACCATTTGCCTCGAAAGAGTTTGTGGTGAGGTTGGCCGAGAAGGAAGGCCGGGAGAGTTCCTCTGCGGCAGCTGGTGCCAAGAGGTATATTTGTATGAAAGTTTAGTGTCTTGTTGTCATTTTTGCATTGTTTTTTATTTGTTGCGGTTTTTTAATGTTTTCTTCTTTGTGTTTGAATGGGCTTACAGAAGGGACCGAGATTTCAAGGTTACTCTTAAATTGGCTAGCAAACCGGACCTTTATCAACTCCAGCAGTTCCTACGAAGCCAGCAGCATGAGTCACCTCAAGACGCAATTCAAGTTCTGGATGTTGCTCTTAGGGCTACACCTTCAGAAAAGTAAAGTCATTATTTCTTAGAAGGGGCATAGGATTTATGTCGTCCTTATGTACGTTTTCTTCCTTAACTACTGACGGTTTGAGTGTTGTAATTTCTATCAGATACACTGTTGCTGGGAGGTCTTTTTTTGCCATTGAGCTTGGGCAGAAAGGTGATCTTGGTGACGGTCTGGAATACTGGAGAGGCTTTTACCAGAGTCTAAGGCCTACTCAGTTTGGGCTTTCACTCAACATAGGTAATGCATTGACCCAAATTTCCCTGTTCTGATAATCATATGAAGTTAAGTAACAAGAGTGTTGTGACTATCTTTTTTTATTCATATATTTGCAGATGTATCAGCAAGAGCATTTTATGATCCTGTCCTGGTAACTGTGTTTGTGAAGAAACTTTTAAATTACAGAGAATTGTCAAGGCCTTTGCCTGATCGCGATCGTTTGAAGGTATTTACTATTTTTGTTTCGATTTGTTTCATTTTGTTTCACTCAGTTTTGGTAGGCAACTTATCAAAGAGTAAAGCTATTATGAATAAAATACAATGTGAATATGTTGAGTTGATAGTTTGTAATTATTTTCTACCAGTCTGAACAACTAAGTACAAGTAATTTATGCTAGTTGTGGGTTATATTTATGCAACAGATTTGCTAGTAATTATGCTCATTTGGTTTTGAAGCTGCATAGCATGTAATCAGTTGCTTTTATCTTGAATTGACTTGTCCATTTTGGATTGACTTCCTTTGGATCAGGTCTAGATGTCTACATAGACTAATTTATTCAGAGTTCTGTGTATTACTATTTACTTATGTTTGTTCAAAATTGTTGCTTAAAAGTATTTGTCTTAATCAGAACTGGTCGGCATTCTGTTTCTTACAGGTGAAAAAGGCCTTAAAGGGGCTCAAGGTAGCAGTTTCTTATCGTGAGAATAGATCTTATAAAATCAGTGGGGTCTCCGTCGAACCGCTGAACAAGTTGACGTAAGTCTTGTAATCTTTACATTACATTCATGCTTATATCTTGTTTATATGTAAATAGACTTCTTGTGGTACTTGATTGGCTTGAAATATAGAACACGACTTTTCATACACATTATCTACTTTTGTTAGCATACATCGTAAGGGTTAATTTTGAAAAGAAAATCAAATTGAGTTATGACGGTGTTCCATGGTAACAGACCATTCATAACTTATTATCCATCTTTGCGTTTTAGGTTCACTCGAGAGGATAATAGTAGAATTTCAGTAGAACAATATTATCGCGATACGTACAATATTGTGCTAAGGGATGTGGCAATGCCTGCACTTCAATCTGGGAGCGATTCAAAACCTGTTTATTTGCCTATGGAGGTTCCTTTCTTGACTTCTTAGCCATTTTATTTCCTAGCATGTTTCAGTTCTAAGTACGGTAGTAGTATTGAGGAGATAGTTTACTTATTTAACTTTTTGGCAGCTTTGTTCCATTGTTGCTGGGCAGAGGTACACTAAGAAGTTGAATGAGAGACAAGTAACAGCTCTTCTGAGAGCAACTTGTCAACGCCCTGGAGATAGAGAACGAAGTATATACCAGGTCTGGATGTGATTTAATCTTTTCAACCAATGGCACTCTTTTCCTAATCTATATGGTTTTCATTTTGTTTCTGGTGCTGACGTTTCTGCATCTGTGATTCTGTGCAGATGGTTAAACACAATGCTTACAATAAAGATGAGCTTGTCCAGCGGGAATTTGGAATGCATATAAGAGAAGATATGGCTTTAGTTAATGCTCGTGTGTTGCCGCCGCCTTCGGTAATTTTTTATTTCCAATTTTGTTTGAATATTGCAAGTGTTTTTTTATTCATCTTTTTTTTTCTTTGCTGGTGTTTGAATTGATGACAACAGCTGAAATACCATGACACTGGTCGTGAGAAGTCTGAAAATCCACGAATGGGGCAATGGAACATGATCAATAAGGTATGGTATTGGTTTTTAATTTATTTAGATGGATCTGTGTGTATGTTGAACTCCATTGCATACGTATTGAATCCTTGATGTGTTTTGAGGGTAGTTACACATGATTTATGCAACTGAAGGGGTTTGACGTTAGTTAAACATGATTTTTGTAATTTAAGAGTCTTTGCAGATAGCAACTTCACTAGTTCATATTTATTATCGGTTTGTAAGCATTTTAAAATACTGTTTCTTTTTTTTTTAACGGCTTTTGTGATTTGTGATGCGGCATCAAAATTAAACCATTTTTCTTATTAAAAATTTGGTTTCTGATTATTTTTAGTTTATTCTGGTTCTGTAGAAAATGGTTAACGGTGGTCGAGTGGATTTCTGGGCATGCGTCAATTTCTCCCGATTGGACCCAAATTTTAACTTCCGATTCTGTGAGGATTTGGTTAATATGTGTGGCAGCAAGGGAGTGGTACGACTTCCTTTCATAACTTTCTCCTCTTTCTTAACTTACTCCTCTCTTTGCGTTGAATTATTTCTTTTCCTAACCAAATTGTTTATTTCCTAGCATTTCCATCCGCAACCTTTACTTGCTCATCAATCAGCACATCCTGGGCAAATAGAGAGGGTGCTTAGAGATATCCATAAGACGTCTAGCAAGAAACTTGATGAAATTGGACATAAGGGAAAGCCTCTTCAGTTGTTAATTGTCATTTTGCCTGATGTCACTGGATCATATGGTGAGTAGCAATCATGGAACAAAAACTCTTATATTTCTACAATATTATGCTTAAAATAATTGTCTTGTATTTCAAGAAAATCATGTTTAAAATCTGACATGTTGATTGCTTGCAGGGATGATAAAACGAATCTGTGAAACCGAGTTAGGAATCGTGTCTCAGTGCTGTCAGCCTAGGGCAGCATCAAAGCTGAGTAAACAATACCTTGAAAATTTATCGCTCAAGATAAATGTGAAGGTTCGTTAACGGAAAAAAAAGAAAAGAAAGAGATTCTATTGTCCATCACATTACTTATTGTGTGTGTTCTTTATGTGTTGTCTCACATTACTTAAACATTAAAATGTTGACACCATTGAAAACTGTTGTAGGTTGGCGGAAGGAACACTGTTTTGACCGACGCCATTGAAAGAAGGATTCCTCGGGTGAGTGACATTCCCACAATCATATTTGGTGCGGATGTTACCCATCCTCAACCTGGGGAGGACAGCAGTCCGTCAATTGCTGCTGTAAGTTCTGTCTTTTATTTTGATTTCATTTTAATTAAAAATGCATAATGTGTCTGTTAACCTGATAATTTATTCCAACAGGTGGTGGCGTCCATGGATTGGCCAGAGGTCACCAAGTACAGAGGAATTGTTTCTGCACAGGTTCACCGTGAAGAAATCATCCAAGATCTGTATACTGTAAAACAGGACCCTAACAAGGGACTTATTGCTGGAGGAATGATCAGGTAATTGGGTCAACATGCACCTGCTTTTGTTATTTCATTTTTTATTTTTATTTTTTTATAATAGTTGAGTATATTTTCTTATCATGATTATTTTCATGATGTTAGGGAGCATTTCCGAGCATTTCGACTAGCAACTGGCCAAATACCAAAAAGAGTAATCTTCTTCAGGTAATAATTGTTTTTGCTGTGGTCAAGGAAAATCAAACACAACAACACTGCTAATATTTGTTTTGATGTTTGCTTGACAGGGATGGAGTTAGCGAAGGGCAATTTAGTCAAGTTCTGTTGTATGAAATGGATGCTATAAGAAAGGTATGCTGACTACTGGAATTCCAGAATTATTTTTTTATTCTTTAGATAACTTGACATTGATCACTACTTAATTATTTAAATTGAGTAGTTAGTGAATTATTTTTTAAGATAAGCGATTTTATCTAATATGTGTGTCACTGCCTTTTCAGGCTTGTCAATCACTTCAGGAGGGATATCTGCCACCAGTTACTTTTGTTGTGGTGCAGAAAAGGCATCATACGCGCCTGTTCCCTACTGATAATCGGAGGACTGATAGGAGTGGCAATATTCAACCAGGTTACAATTTTATATGCATTGAGAATCTGAGATTTATTAAATTTGTTGCTTTTCTGGTTTGCGCTTTAACTCTCTTTATCTTGTCTAGGCACTGTCGTTGACACCCAAATTTGTCATCCGACGGAGTTTGACTTCTATCTCAACAGTCATGCTGGCATTCAGGTACTATATTTATGTATGCCAGTTCCCTTTTTGCCGGTGGTTTCCTTGCTCTCGATGAGGATGTATTTGTGTTCTAGTAACTTTTAAATATGAAATATTGCGCTGTGCTATAGTTTGAACTGATATCTTCTTGTGCTATGCAGGGAACTAGCAGGCCTGCACATTACCATGTCTTGTATGATGAGAACAATTTCACCGCAGATGCACTGCAGATGCTAACGAACAACCTATGCTACACGTAAGCAGACAGTAATTTCAATTCTTACTCTGGCTTATGCACTTGTACGATGCCAATTTGAAGATAACATATTGTTTGCTGACTTTCTAATTGTATGTTTTTCAGGTATGCAAGATGCACTCGTTCAGTTTCCATTGGTACGCACTTGAGTTGGATTTGTACATATGTTTTCTGAAATCATGTTTTTTCCTGATTGCACCGATGATGTTTGTGTTTTTCCATGCAGTTCCTCCTGCTTACTATGCTCACTTGGCTGCCTTCCGTGCAAGATACTACATTGAAGGCGAGTACTCAGATGGAGGTTCTACTACCGGATCTACAGCTGGGGGTTCTGGTGGTGTGCGGTTCCGTGCCCTACCTGAGATAAAAGAAAATGTGAAAGAAGTTATGTTCTACTGCTGAATCAGTCTTGAGCTCCGTTTGGTCTTTGGTGGCATTGGTTTCGACTAGTGTTTTGTAGAGGTCCGTTTTGTCGCTGGCGGCGGTTTCTAGTAGTTGTGTTTCGTCAAGGTCGTATGAACTAAAAGTTGCACAAGACTTTAATCTTATATTTTGGTTATCGTCTGGAAGACGGACGTTTAAATCGCTCATCTCATCCGCGATGGTTTTGGTTGTAAGTTTTGTGTCCTATGGGGGCTTATGAAACAAGTCTTGTGAAGGAAATGGATTTTGGTTCAAAGTTAAGAACCAGAATATTTTGAGGTGGATATATTACAAGGGAACTAATGAAAAACGTTTGAAAATTTTGAGTTTTAATAATAATGATAAAATGAAGAGTAAAGTGAATAGTATTAGAATTGATTTTATAGTGTAAAAATGTGGTTTTTCACTATAATGAACAATACTGGGAGCTTTTCGTTAAAGTTCTCATTATTATATGTTACTTGCTTAAAAAAATTATAAATTAAATTTTGTAAACTAAATTATGTGGTTGTTGATAATTGAATTATTGCTTAAGCGTTGATACTCAGAATTATTAGATTCTATTTTGTGTATATTTTTGTTGGCTAAATCGCTAAAATGGTCTTTGAGATTTACATAACTTATTACTTTGGTTCTTGAGATTCCAAATTGATAAAAGTGGTTCCTGAGATTGTCCACTATTCATCATTTGGGTCATTCCGTTAAACATTTCGTTAAATGTTCCAGAGTTCTTGGCCGTACGTTTGGGCAATTTTCAAAGTTTTGTAACTCAATTATTTCTTAACCAAATTCGACCTATAATATATCAAAATGAAGATAAGAAAGTTTATAATAAGATTATAACTATTTTGAAGTCCAATGGTTGTCGGAGATGGTTAGAAAATAGTTTCAAAGTTGACTGATCTGAGTGCAAAACTTGAAAACTCGCCGGAAACTAGTTAGCTTTAAACGTTCATAACTTCTTCAATACTCAAGAAATCAAGTGATTCAAAAATGAAAATCATATATCTCGATGAGACGAAGAGAATGGTACCTTTTTCGACAGCTAACTCGCCGTGGTTTGGCCGGAAAACGGCTTGAAAGTGGCTGTTTTGGTCTCGAGTTAGCCACTTTCAAGCCATTTTCCGGCCAAAACACGGTGATCTAGCAGTTGAAAAAGGTAGCATTCTCTTTGTCTCATTGAGAAGTATGATTTTCGCTTTTGAATCACTGATTTCGTTGAGTATTGAAGAAGTTATGAATGTTTAAAGTTTACCCAGTTTCCAGCGAGTTTTTCAGTTTTCGCTCGGACAGTCAACTTTGAGACTATTTTCCGGCCATCTCCGGCAACCATTGGACTTCGAAATAGGTATAATCTTATTATATACTTTCCTATCTTCATTTTGATATATTATGGGTCGAATTTGGTTAAGAAACGATTGAGTTACGAAGCTTTGAAAATTGTCCAAACTTCAGGCCAAGAGCTCCGGGACACTAAATGGAGTTTTTAACGGAATGACCAAATGATGGATGGTGGACAATCTTAGGGACCACTTTTGTCGATTTGGAATCTCATGGACCAAAGTGATGAGTTATGCAAATCTCAGGAACCATTTTGGCGATTTACCCTATTGTTGTTCCGTATTTGACCTTCCTCTGCTTGCCAATTGGTTCGTTTGGGTGAAAGTATGGCAGTTCATATTTTTGTCCAAATATTGCCAATTGGCTAATATCCCAGACAATTATCGTCCTAAGGAGTGGAGTTGCTCTAATAGCTTCTACAAGGGAGATGGAAGAAGCACATAGGATCTCCAAACTATATCTCCCTCATGGATTAACACTCATGTACATGTATTTTACATTTCAATTTTGCATATATCTGTTGAAATTGCTGTAATGAAGGTAGCCATGACATTGTTCCAACTTCCAATTAATAGGCATTTAGTATTATAGTTTAATGTATTTCTTTTTATTTATAAGTGAGAAGTCTTATATTCGATTCTCGTCAAACACGTATTTTAGATCCCATTATTGTCAGCAATAATATCGTTTGTTAAAAAAAAAAATCGCAATTTATAACATCCACGCTTGTCTTATTGGCTGCCCCAACTCCAACTATTTATGATCAGCAAAATCAACCGTCTCATATTCCCTTCTTAAAACTCAAATTCCAACAAAAATCAAATCGCTATTAATTAATAAAACCCTCTTTGTCAATCAAAAGAGGGTAAAAAGACTATTAAGTTTTCTATCACATAAACAAAATGATGGGCAATAATGTAATTTTACATGTCCAAATTTTACTGTTTTTTATTGAAACCTCACCTACAGGTAATGTTAAAATACCTTCAATATTTATATAAAAAAAAAAATTAAAGAAAACCAAAAATTAAACAAAACGTGGCCGCTGCCGAGGCCGAGGTCGCCATTCGGACCCCTCGCACGCCTCCTACGCCCCGTCGTTTAATCGTGGTGGAGGTGGCAGCGATCGTGGAGCACAGAGAGAGGCGAGGTCTCAAAGTAGCCGGCAATGGCGGACTAACAACGCCACCATAATCACCGGTGCACCACAGACGTCATTTCAATCCGAAACGGGCCCCAGCCAGCGCAGGCCAGAAGGAACGGGCGGTTATAGTGGAGTGGTTGCACCAACACCAACACGGGAGCCTAGGACAAATACTCCTCGCGAACCGGTGCCGGCTCAGGCTTCGCTCAGTCCTACTCCTCCGGATGCAGAGGCACCGCTGATCTGTGAGATGGAGGAGAAGCTAACATTAACCCCTCTGACACCGGCTTTGTCCAAGGCCATTAGGTTTCCGGCCAGGTTTCAGAACTCTAGGGGAGTAGGTCCAAGTGAGGGCCAACCACTTCTTAGTGGAGGTTGCGGACAGGGATCTCCATCACTACGATGTAAGCAATTAAGCCTCTCTGTATTCCGACTCTTCAGTGTCCTCTTACAGTAAGTATTTTTCCTTGGTATTATTTTTGCGTTTTCCGTTTACTTATCAAGAATGAATAAATATTCAAGGCATGAATATCATTCTCTTCTGAGCAAAAAACCGAGTAACAATTAGCAAACAACCTGTTCACGCATTCTCTTATTTTATAAATTTCTTTCGTATTTCCTTTTTGCTTTTTCTCTACTGAGAGTTGTTTCACAAAAATTTTGGAGAAATTTTATTTGAACCCTTATAACCTATTTTTAACATTTTATTTAAATTTTGCATGTGAAGTGTCTTTTTTATCCTATTGTATAATTATAATAAAGTACAAGAAGAAATTAACAATAAAACTAAGTTTTATCAATACACCCACTGTAAAACCCCACCCCAATTATAAAGGTAATTTTGAGTTTTTATTTTAAAAATTGTTTTTTTAAGGCCTTAATAGGTGTCTAATTTCACACACACACACACACACATAATTCCCTCTCTCCTCTCCCTCACCTCTCCCGTAACTTTCTCTCTCTCCCTCTCATCTTTCCCGTTGAAGCTCTTTGTAACTCACCCTCACTCTCTCTAATTTCTCAAGCATCACCACTCACAACCACCATCTCTTACGGCTTGGTTCAACACAAAATCACCAGAAATAAATATTGGATTGCCTGAGGATCTTAGCAGTGGCTCTGCATGTTCAATCTGATAACTGGTTGAGGGGGGCTGATCGGGGAGCTCCATGTTTGCCGGCGAAGTCCAACTAAAAAATGACGTTTCAGTCGTTAATTTTACACGAGAATCATTCTTATTCGACCTCAGGTATTTTCCTAGGTTTACTTCATAACTTTTGGACTCGAATCCGAGATTCTAACTCCTGTAGTCCTTTTGTTCTTCACCCTAATTTCCGATGTGGATCTTCGGCGAGGAACTCGGTAATTTTGAGGTCCCTTGAGCTCGAATGGGTCCTCATTAAACCTCAGGAAAACATTTCATGCTCTGCATGTTTGAATTTACCTAAATATCTAGGTGCTAACCTATGTATAACTTTCGGTGTTTTCCTAGATTTGTTCCGGTAACGCCTGTTGTTGAACTCCGGCGAGTTCGTGTGCGGTGTGTGTGTGTGTGTGTGTGTGTGTGTGTGTGTGTGTGTGTGTGTGTGTGTGTGTGTGTGTGTGTGTTGTGCCGTGTGTGTGTGATGTGTATACTGTGCACCCATGTGAGTGTGTGTGTTGTTGTGTATGGGTGTGTGCGTGTACAGTGTATGTGTACAGTGTGTGTGTGTGTATTTAGTGCGTGTGTATGTGTATATGATGTGAGTGTATATGTGTGTGTATGGCGTGTACTGTGTGTGCTGTGCATGTGTGCATGTGTGTTGTGCATACATGTGTGTGTGCTGGCGTGTGTGTATGTGTGTTGTGTGGGTTTGGGCTCAAGCCCAAACCACCCCTTTTGTTCCTTAACTATTCAAACCCAAAACCCAATAGGTCCTAACCCTATTTAACCTAAACTTAAACCCTAATCCGGATCCAAACCCAAGACCCATTTCCATTTCTTGAAATTCTATAGTTGGGTAGTTTGATAAATTGTACATTTTTGTGCTTAGGTGAAGTTGCTAGTGAGGATTTCCTTAATCCTTTTCCGCACAACTCTGCTGCTACGGAGTATCTGTGAGTGGAACCCTTCTAAAATTACATGATTTCATAGTTTAATTGCATAAATGAATAACATGCCTTACGAGTTTATGAACTAATTTTATGTTAAGCATGTTTATGGTAAATGTTGTTTATCGTCTTGTTTTTGGTGATGAATTAATTGTTGGCCTATATTGAGCTATATTTTAATATATCGTATTTTCTATAAAAACCATGAACTGGTAGACTATCTGATGGATGACGATAGGATGCTAGAACATATTTTCAAAACCCTTTTTATAGTATAGATGATGGATGGCTTTATACTATGAAGTGGTTATTTATGAAAGGTGTAACTATTTGTGCGTACCTAGTGGACACTATGCCGCCTGGGGCGAGGATTTGGTGTTGGCAGATAGGCTGGGAGAAATAATTCCTAGTTACGGGTTGAGGGACACGGAACAGGCATTGGGTCGTGAGTTGGTAATCTCTGGCTACGGGTGCAGAGACCACGATGCTGGCATAGGGCTGAGAGTTATATTTATTCAGTGATCTTACTAGCAGCACACCGCGCTTACGAGACGATCTGTGAGACGTTTGATGTTTTGATTTCTGCGATATGTCTTTAGAGATGTTTTTGGCATGCTAGGGTTTTCAGTAAACCTATCACTTATTATGCTAGTAGTTTTCTGTATATAAACTGTGGGGGTTAGTATCTTGATATCTGTTTTATTATTACTGTATATATGAACTTGGTCCACTCACCTTTGTTTTGCACCCCCATTCAGGACTTATAATCGAGGCATACAATC